GGTCGAATTGGCCCTTAATTGGATAGACAGTGTAGGCATGCGCGGTAGCTGAATTTGAAATCTTTAGCTCATACATGCACAAAGAATATCCCTGCAAAGTTTCAACTGTCTGTCTTGTCTGGTTCACGAAATCGTTTCCCACTGGCAATCCTAACGTTCGTTTCGTCTCGTAAAGGGGGTTACCATCCCAGCGGTTCTTCTGAGAAAAAATACATGAGAAGACATTAGCCATTTCTTGGTGTCCTTGGGATTGACCACTATGTCTCAAGAATGGCTCGACAACTGAGTTTAAGATCTTTAGCTCGCACGTGCATAGATAATGTCTCTGCAAAGTTTTAGTTTTCTATGTTGCCTGCTTTGCGAAATCCTTTCCCGCCAACATTCTCAAAAGTGACCACCACTACGTCTTGGCTACTATAACTTACTGTAATGACCAGGGCTGCTTGATAAAATTCGCGGTTATTTCCAGAATGTAGCCGATGATCGTGTTTTGCTAAGGATCGATGGCAGTAATCGTCAGATGACCGTATGTCGAGAAGAGCTACAATCCGTAAATCCGGCAAAATTAGATAAAACCGAAGATATGTCATCGCTGTCACATTTGAATGAAGCTTCTGTACTTCACAATCTTCGACAGCGATACTATTCTTCGCTTATATATGTAAGAAATTTTAAAGATACAAACAATGAATATCTCTGGCTATCGGACTGGAACTGGAAAGGGGGGGGGCCTGAAATCGCATCTATATGTTAAAATATGCAGTTTGTTTGGCGCTGTTGGCCCACCACTGTGGAGAGGAACACTATCGAATTTTGATAATTAATAAAAACGCACGGGAAGTATTGCCATTTAGATCTCCCAAATAAGGAGTGGCGGGAGAGAGGGGGTTAAGTAAATAGCTTATCAGCGTTACAAGTAATAATAGAGCAAATCCAGCTTTTTCTTCGAATTTCGATAACGATAAAACGGGACATTAAGTATTATCAGTTTTATGATCTCAGTCCATTACAGGCGTATCTGTGAATGGGCCATTTCACACCAAAACAAATTTTTCTTTAAAAAAGAAACGGGCGAAGCCAGAAGGAACGTTGCCAGTGCGGGACTCAGCCGCAAAAACACACCGCTGCTACCATTTTTCCAGTTATTTCATTCTTATATCACAAAGAGGAAGCCAAAGTCTCGAGACGGGACATTTGCATATCACATATGGGAGTGTAGGATAACTGGGATAAGGAGGAAAGGAGGTCGGCCATCTTCATCCTTATATCCGTATCTGCCACTTATCAGAGGTTAAAAAGAAAATATCAGGAGAAAAAGGAAACAATAAAAAAGAGGAGAAGGATATTAAAATAGGTAAGGAGTCTAAAGAAATATTTGTTATAGGTAAGAAGTGTTTCGGTCCACTTATTCCCTTGTAACGATCGAAGGGCGGACGGAAGAGGGTGTTGCTGCGAGTGCAATAGCCCCAAACTAATAAACAATGCTTTATTAGAAAGAAAACAAAAATACACCAACAGAAACCAAAAGCGATCTAAAATCGCTGACGATGCGACAGCAGCTCCAAACTGCCACCGTACAATATAGCTCCAAGCTGCCGCCGCACAATTCTTGTGGCACAGAAGCAATCAGCATTTCATTTCTGATCACGGAGTTCGGGAACTCGAGTCAGGAGGCGGACATTTGCATATCACATGGAGTGGAAGGGCAACGGGGCAAGGCGAAGCGGTTTAGCCGGCAGCTTCGTTTTCTTACTGTTAGCACCTTCTTCCTTTTGCAACACCTTTCACAAAAGCTTATTGGTACTATTTATAATAGAATAGGAAACGTGAGGACTTCTTCCTCTTCCCCAGGAGGTACAGACTGAAGTGCTAAGAAATAAAGCTATGTCAGTGTCGCTGATGATAGCTGGTTACTAGTGTTTTTTCATCGTGGTTAGATGCGATTCTAAGTACCAATTTCATGTTAAGAACCGCTTTTTTTCAGACATATTCTGGTCTTTTTTGTGTTGTTATCAATCCATACAAATGGATGCCGCATATTTACTCAAACACCGTGATGAGCAGTTATCGTGGACGAAAACGACACGAAGTACCACCGCATGTTTTTGCTGTAACCGACTGCGCCTATCGTGATATGCTCCATCGTATGGCTTATTTGGTTTTATTAGAAATTGCAAGAAGTTCAGCTTAGATTTCTTAAGTTTAAGTTTTTTACAAGGGCGAAAAGCATTCTTGCTACTGGGCAACGCTGTTAAATGTTATTATCCGAGCTATTTTTGAATGCCTCCGCCTCTCAAAAAAATGAATTATTAACAGTGAGGATGAGACAGAGCGTGGTTTTTACATTGATTTTATAGTTTTTTCTTTTTGTTTTTTGTTTTTTTTTTTTTTGAGGAAATATCCAACAGGAATTGTCCTCTTCAGGTTTCTGGGTAAAATGTCTAACAGAAACTCTCCTTTTTAATTTTATTGTTCCCGAAACTTAATGGAGAAATTGTAGAATACCGCGGTCTATGTTTTATTCTTTAGCCGTAATTACAAACAGAACCATAAATTCGGTTAAGAGTGGGAATCATCAGTACAACCTCCTACTAGCCATCTATAGGATATGCATGTAACTGATTTCTCAAGTTTCGAATCTTGATTTTTTAGAGCGCGAAGATCAGTCAATCCTTTGCACTGGTGAGTCAGGAGCTGGCAAAACTGAAAATACGAAAAAAATCATTCAGTATTTGGCAGATGTAGCAGGTGCAGGACGTCACATTCGTCCCGGTGGTTCTCGTAGTCCAGGAAGACCGAGCACGGTACTTTTTTTTGCTCTATTTTTTTTTTTTTTTTTTATAAAAGCTTTTTTTCTACAGAATAATTTTTTTATCGATATTTTCAGAATTTACTACAACCATCGGTAACACATGGAGCACTGTCGGAAAGCATGTCTTCTGTTGTAAGTTTTTCCAGCAAATTTTCGGTTTTTACCTAATATGTTATATATTGCTGTTGGTTCTTCTCTTGGAATACTTCCGAGTGTTTCTGCCTCTCATAGGTACTGAATACGGGGACAAGAAAACGTTGCAAAAAAAGCAGTACCAGTAGATTCGACACGTACGTAGCCTCTGCACAGAAGGACCTGGTATTGCTGGGCTTGATATTCTGGTTTACCCCAGTAAAAACGATGTTCTGCATCTGGAGTTATATAATCTTTTTTGATGATTTTTACTAATTAGAGAGTAACTGAGGGGTCTTTTTTTTGGCTGGAAGTGATTGAGTGCATGTTCAGGGTCATCTCGAAGACCAGCTACTTCTGGCGAATCCGATCCTTGAAGCATTCGGCAACAGTAAAACGGTGAAGAATGATAATTCATCAAGATTTGTAAGTTTTCATGCTCTGTGGTTGAAGTGATTGTCTTAAAATTGGTGCGAAAAAGCAGAATTTTTTGCAATAATTTTTCGTGAACTGAGCAAACATTGGATCGTGAACTTTTTAAGAATATCAACAGATCCTTGATTAGTCATGATCCCAACGTGTCAGGGCTTGAGCTTCTGAAGCATTTCTGTGAAGAAATGAGCAGTAGATGATTTTTTATTGGCAAAAATGCAATCACGCAGTCGTAGAATCCTTGAGTTTTTCATAAAAAGTTAGAAGAGAGGACATTAGAAAAAGTAAATTTGAAAAATAAAAAAAATTTCTGAAAAGAAAAAATGAAGTTTTTATCAGAGAATGGGCTTTTTCAGAAAATTAGAAGTTTTTTCGATTTCTTTTTTTTTTTTTTTTTTGAGAAAATCTGTATAAGTTATGTACAATAATCAGATTCCTGCAAAATAACATAATTGATAAAATTCGTTGAAAAAATCAAAAATTAGTGGAGAAAACGGAAGAAAAGACGTAAAATTTATTAAAAAAGTTTAAAGATTACGGTTTAAATACTGGGAAATTTGGTATGACCTATACCTAATCTTTTCATGGCCAAATGTAAAGACGTTTTTTGCAGGGTAAATTCATACGTATTAGTTTTGATCAAAATGGTTACATCTCTGGTGCAAATATCGAACATTATTTGCTGGAGAAATCACGCACTATCCGCCAAGCTGCCGATGAACGATCATTCCATTTCTTCTATCAGCTACTACTTGGCTCAACGATTAGCAAAAAAAGTAATTTCACTCTTTTTTTTTTCGATTTTTGGCACGTTAAGCCGATTGTAGCAACCAGGTTGACCCGGGAAGCCTAAATGGCAAAGGCGCGATAGATTACAGCATGAAAGAACAGTATGAGAAAAGAGAAGGTAAGAATGAGATAAGACGTTTCGATCCATTAAGTCGTATACGTTTTAACTCAACACCGCGACAGGACCTCGTGGCAGTATGACGGTTGCAGTGCTTAATAAAAAAGGAAAAGAAAGGAGAAAGACGACAGGAAGAAACAGAATGGGAAATGAATGTGATTGTGAGATTAGAAGGAGTAAGAGTAGGATGAAGAGGGAAGGGGAAAGGAAGGAAGAAGAAAAGAATTTTAAAAGAGGAAGTCTTTTTTTAAAAAGTTATTTTTAAAAAAAGTTATTTTTTGAAGAAAAGAAGATTTTTTATATATTTATTAAAAAGCTATTTTAAAAAAGTTGCTAAATTCAAGACGAAACTAGAGAAAGTATGCCACTACTTTATCTTCATTTTGAAAACTGAGGCTACTCATCGCATCTCGAAATCCTTTGTGTTCTTTATCCCCGACTCTATCCACTTTTCCAGGGATTTAGTCCTAGAATGGTTAATAATAATTACATTGTGAAGAATTTGTTTAGTGATCTGTTTCATAGCCATTATAACTTGGAATTTACGTACTTTTTCCAGGTTCACTATTACTGGACGATATTGACAATTATCGTTTCTTGACAAACGGAAATTTGCCAATTCCGGATGTGGACGATGCAACCGAATTGTCAAATACAGTGGATGCAATGAAAGGAATGGATTTTGCGGAATCTGATATTGACGGTTAATTAATTTCCGGATAATTAAAATTACCTAAATTTCAAAAATATCTCGGCGGGACCAAAAAAATAGATTTTAAAAAAATAGATTCAAAAAAGACAAAAAATAGATTTGAAAATAAAAAAACTAGGAAAATAAAAAATAGATTTAAAAAAAGGATTCTATAAATTAATAAATAATTTTTGAATAGAATTTTTTTGATTTTTTATTACAAAAATTATCGCATTCATAGGGGCACTAAATTGATCGTAGCACTCAAATTTATTCATATTATTGGCTCAGAATTGTTATTGGTTTTAACGTGATATTACTTGACACATAGCGATTGGTATCGGCATATGCCAAGGTGTCAAACCGGCCATCAGCTTGCTTTTAAGCAAAACTGTCGAAAAAAAAAGCTGTAACAGAGACTGGCTACTTATGGTATTTGTTCCTGTGCAGTTTTTGTAGCGAAAAACTACGAAGTAATTTTGTTTTTTTGGCACAGCACTGTTCATCTACAGTTAGAATTGTCGCTGCCAATTTCTACTTAATTTTTTATCTTATGTCATGTTAATATTTGATTTTTTTATTTAATTTTTTATTTAATTTTAGCGATAATGCGAATAACAAGTGCGGTTTTACTGCTGGGAAATATGTCGTTTACGGAGGATCGCACTTCCGAACAAGCAGTACTTGTTGATGATCGAGGTTATTCTACCGAAAATTAGTCTTTTTCGACGATAATTTTTCATTTTAAGCTGTCTTAATCAGTCGTATTTCGATAGCATCGTTTTTGTAACTTTTTCATACCGAATTTTTACTAATGAGCCGTTATGTGTTTTTCAGTTGCACAAAAAATCTGTTGCTTGCTCGGATTGCCTGTATCCGATTTAACACGGGCATTCCTGAAGCCACGAGTAAAGGTTCGTATTGCTTTTTTCTTTTTGAAATATTTGAATTATTTGAATCAAAAATAAGAGCTAAAACTATGTATCATGTATTGCGATATACATATTTGGGGAGAAATCTTGTTTTTTTTTTTTTCTTTTTTTTTAAACACCTTTATTGGTATCTTTTTTTTTACTTTTTTGATTTTATTTTTTTACTTTTTTGCTTTTTTCTTTGCATTTTTTCAGTTTTTGATGAAATCTTTTTTTTGACGAGTCTGTTCGATTTTTTCACGTAATTCACGTAGCCTAGTTTCAGGTAGGACGAGATTATGTACACAAAGCACAGACACGTGAACAAGTGCAGTATGCTGTAGAAGCAATAGCAAAAGCATGTTATGAGAGAATGTTCCGACTTCTGGTGATCAGAATTAATCGTTCATTGGGTCGTACAACGAACAGTGCAACAACATTCATTGGAATTCTCGATATTGCTGGGTATTAGTTTTGCGAAAAAGTTTTGCAAAAAAAATATTGATTTATTCTTAATTTTGTATTATTTTTTTTCTTTTTTTTTTTTCTTTTTTGTTAGGAAAGGAAATGCACAAATCGGTAACTGTGCAACAACTTTTAAAATCTCCAAAAGATCAAAATATGCAAAATTTCTGCAAAATTTTGCTTATTTTGATCTTTTGAAAATTTTTTTCCATCTTAATTTACCTGGTATTTTTCTAGTTGTTTTGACCGGTAATCAGTTTGCTCCTGATATTTGCTTCGTCTCCTCAAATTGAGTTATTAAGCAGTATCAAAAATACTAGTAATATGCACAAATTATTAAATGAATTCAAATTTGTTTTTTTTTTTTGTACAGAATAAAAGCATGGCATAGTAACGCCAGGATTTGTTGGCATGCTTTTAAGTGAAATCTGAGATTCTAACGGATATTGGTTTTGTTAATTTTTAAATCTCTTTTTTTTAGGTTTGAGATTTTCGAGTTGAATAGTTTCGAGCAGTTATGCATCAATTACACCAATGAAAAGCTACAGCAACTATTCAACAATACAATGTTCATTTTGGAGCAAGAAGAATACCGGAAAGAAGGCATCAAATGGGATTTCATTGATTTTGGCCTGGATTTGCAACCAACAATTGATCTTATTGAGAAAGTAAGTTCGAAAATGGTAACGGTAAGAAATGTGTACGACTTAATGGACTGAAACATTTCTTACACTTTTGCCATCTTTTTTGCATAATTATGCTTCGACCCACCGTAAAAAATATTCTGGTATCCCATCCATGCCCCTCAAAACCTTTTTAGTTTTTTTGACTAATGCTGCATCGCCTGCTGATCATTTTGCTAGCGATCCTTACATTTGTTTCTTCATCCTTCTGACGGGTAATAACTTAGCGATTCACCGGACTAAAGCATCTAGTGGGGCTCAGCAATTTCAAAATTTTCTTAAATTTTTTGTTTTTTTTCAGCCGTTGGGTATTTTATCATTACTGGACGAGCAGTGTATTTTTCCGAAATCCACTGATAAATCATACGTTGAGAAGTTGGTTGTTAATCAGTCGAGGCATGCGAAATTCATTGTGCCGGAATTTCGAACAAAATCCGATTTCGCCATTATTCATTACGCTGGACGCGTCGATTATTCCGCAGGTATTTCTTTGAATTTTTTTTTACTTAAACATTTTGTGTGTATTTTTTTTTTTTGTGTCAGAATCTCCTGGACTGATTTTTCTGTTCTAACCTTACAATTATTTCCGGAATTGCAAAAAAAACTGTACAGTTATGAGATGCTTAGAATCGAAAATCGCATAAAATTTAAAAGAATTTTAGCGATGCATAATGGGTGACCTGGTATAATTCCATGATATCTTAAAGTGGAAAATCGCGTAAAATTTAAAATAATTTTAGCGATGCATAATGGGCGACCTGGTATAATTCTGTGAAAAAAACTTCTACGAAGTTTGGTTTATAGAGACGGATGTGAAATACGTGGAGCGCGGGGTGTAAGGAATCGATCGGGAATTTGTTTGTAAAACTTAGGGCCTGCGCACTACACATTTTCGTTTCTGTAGAGGAATGAAACGTCCTCTGCGCTACGCAGCTTGTCTGGAAAGCGAAATAGCCACTTCACTAAAAAAAATATCTTTGCAGTGCCCTAAGTCATGGCGCAAGCTCCTCTACGAGGACGACGACAAAACTTGCAAGAATGTTGAGACTGCTAGAAACTCGAGCTTATATAGCCAACAAGCTTGGCAAAACTCTGATTTGACAACTTCAGCTCTTTCACATAGTTACTTACATTCGTATTTCTGCAATTGTGTTTGCAGCGGTTGTGCTTGAAATTTTTTATGGAACACGTAAAACTTGAGTCGGCGCTCTGCTCATCACCGGGTCTTCCTGATGAGTGCGGGAAAATTTACAGCACTAAGTTATGTTTCATGGATATTTAGTCTGTGTTATGAAAAAATCGGTCTTCTGAGTGTTTTTAGCTATTTCGACGAGCTCTTCCATGTATTGCAAATTTTTATGGTTTTATAGGTCAATGGTTAATGAAAAATATGGATCCGTTGAATGATTCCGTTGTATATTTGCTTCAGAATTCAAGCGATCAATTTGTGAGTGAAATGTGGAAAAACGGTTAGCAGTTTATTTTGATTTGTCTTCAGTTCACCGAATTCTTGGATAGTTTCCAAAATTCAAACAAAATTTTAAATTTACTTAAAAAAA